ATTAAAAAAACCTTAAAAGATAATAAACAAAACGATTCAAGTCTTCAAAGTTAAAATTAATATACTTGAAATTTCAATAATATTATTTAGTGTAGGTATAAATTATGATTAGATAAATTAATCAAAGAATCCTTGTTGGAGTACCAAAGAAAATTAAAATAAATTAAAATTAAACAAATAAACAAAATAATCTTTGTAGGAATACGAAAGAAAATTATCCTAGCCTCTAATTATTCAATTTGTACACACTCTCAATGTTCACTACACCATTTGAATATTAATGGACATAAACATTAATGTAGGATTACTTTTCCTTGTGAGTTTATGAAAGTTAAACTTAAATATTGTCATATGTTCATCTTGTCTTCCATTATAAATAATAAAGATTATTTAAAAAAAATGCGCAAAATAATAAGTACACTAAAATCATCAATAATGGGGGAAAAAAGCAATAAAAACAAAAAAAAAGAACAAAAAAAATATTGTAAATAAAAGACATCGAACAAACTGAAATAAAAAGAGTAACATGTGTGAAATATTGTACTCATCAAAATTGAATTTGAATTTCCAAAATTGTCATATACTCGTCTACTCGTCCACACTGTTAAGTTTTAACAATAGAAGTTAGTCACAAAGAATCTATATATATATATATATATATATATATATATATATATAAAATTAGACATAATCAAAGTGATGTACCTTGGTAACTCAAATTAGATATTGTTCTCATTGAATTTGAATTTCCGAAATTGTCAAATGCTCATCTTATCTTCCACATTGTAAAAGTTAGTAACAAATAAACTATATATTATAAAATTAGAAATAACCAAAGTGATGTACTTTAGTATAAATATGATGAAGAAAGGAAAAATAAAATAAAAAATTCTTGCATTGGTGAAGATGACATGATTTTAGTATTTATAGTAATCCATAAATTCTTAATTATTGAATAAATAAATTAAAAGAGTAATGGAGTAATCAATACATACAATTGTAACTTATATTGGTCATTAGTGTCTTAATTATAATTTAGTAATACTTTTAAGAAGGAATAGGGAAAGGTTTAAATATTTAAAGGGATAAATTGTAACTTATATATACCTAAAATAATAAAGGTATTAATGGAGCATTTAAAGAGAAATAATGAATAGAGGATATTTATTTAATTTAACTAATATATCAAGATAAAATTAAGAGAGAAAAAACTTTTAAAAAAAATAAAATATATAAATTCTAATGCTGGCCTATGAGGGGTGCCACATGAGCACTTTCATATCCAGATTTATATATATATATATATATATATATAGATTATGTGTATCTCTTTCAAATTTATTAGTAGGATGGTAAATATATTTAAATATTGGTCCACTATATAATAAGGTAAAATATTTACAAAATAAAAGTCTTTTACACTTTGAATTTTTCTAGCTAGATATTGCAAATTTTCACTTTCTTTTCCAAATAATTTAAAAGCAAACAACAATTAATATGTAAGCTTAGCAATAGTTCATTAATAACTCGGCAATAATTTAACTAGATATCACATATTTTCACTTTATTTTTCAAATAATTTAAATGCAAATTGTAATTAATATGCAAGATTTAACAATAGTTCAATGACTCAACAATGACTATTACATAGTTTCACATTCTTTTCCAAATAATTTAAAAGCAAATTATAATTAATATGCAAGATTTAGAAAAAGGTGAGTGACTCAATAATGATTCAGCTAGTAATCACTCATTTTACCTTTTTTTCAAAAAAAAAAATTAAAAACAAATTACAATTAATATGCAAAGATTTAGCAATAGATCAATGACCCGACAATGATTCAACTAAAGATCACATATTTTCACCTTTTTTCAAATAATTTAAAAACAAATTGTAATTAATATACAAGATTTAGCAATAGGCCAATGACTCGACAATGATTCACCTAGAAATAACATATTTTCACCTTCCTTTTCCAATAATTCAAAAGGAAAATTGTAATTAATGTGTAAGATTTAGCAATAGGTCAATGACTCAACATTGATTCAGCTAGATATTGCATATTTTCACCTTCTTTTCAAATAATTTAAAAGTAAATTATAATTAATATGTAAGATTTAGCAAAAGGTCAATCACTCGACAACGTTTCAGCTATATATCACATATTTTACCTTCTTTTCCAAATAATGTAAAGAAAATTGCAATTCATATGCAAGATTTAAATATAGGTCAATGACTCGGCAATTATTCCACTACATATTAAATACTTTCACCTCTTTCCATAATGATTAAAAAATAAATTGTAATTAATATACAAGATTTGACAATGTCAATGACTCGATAATGATTCACCTAGATTTCACATATATTCACCTTCTTTTCCAAATATTTTCAAAGGCAAATTATAATTTATATGCAAGATTTAGGAATAGGTCAATGACTCAACAATGATTCAACTAGATATTGCATACTTTATCTTCTTTTCCAAATAATTTAAAGGAATAAGATACAAATACCCCTCAGAGTATGACCGAAATTCAAAGACACATCTAAACTTAACTAGGATCATATTTCCCACTTAAACTAATAAAATGAAATAAATACACCAGAAATACCGATGTGGCATAGAGAGGTGCGCACTCTTTTGAAGGTAAGTGATGAGTTAGTATTAGGGGTGGACATGGTATATTACGATATTGTATTGGAAGATTTTGACACCATAATTTTGGTATTCGATTTTTAAAACATTATTACCATTGTCCTACCATGCCCACCCCTAGTTAGTTCACATAATAATTATTATTATTATTGTTAGAACTTATATATACAAGTTCTAATACTAATAATTATTTTCACTTCTTTCTTTGTAAAGTATTTATTTTAGTTTCGTTTTTTCACTTTAAACTTTTTTTTCAAGTTATTTTTTCAAAAAAAATATTTCTATTAAACCCACCCAAAAAAATGAGTCCATTAAATACACCAAAAACTAGAATGAAAGGATATTCTAGACACCAAAAGCAAACAAAGGGTAAAATTAAGTTAGTTCAAGGGTAATCTTGCTCCTTTTATGCCACAATGAATTGTCACGTCAATGAAAAATGACTTATGTAGACATCTATCAAATTGGGGGCATTTGTTGTCCAAAATATAGACCGGAGGAAAATTTTTTATAGCAAAAATAGAGGATAAATGCGAGCAACTTCAAATAATTCGATGACATTTTTGTCCATTTTTCATCTCCCCTTATTTAAAAGAGAGAGTTGTGGAGAACTAACACCGCTTTAAAAATTTGTGAGGCCACTTTACCAAATTATATAAGCCAATAAGTTGGGACGAACACAACTATAGGCGGTTGTACACTATTGCTGATTTTTGTTTAGCCTCTTTTGTATTACACTTCATTTTTATGAGTTTTCTTTTCCATTCCAGCGACACCTGTCTTTATATTTCTTGGGATCTGGCTTCACTTCAACTTCTGATTCACCCTCTCTCTTAGTCATCTCCTCTCTACATAAAGTTTTGTTTGCTCCAAATTGATTTGCGTTTGTGGATTGCACCACCAAGATTCAGGCTCATTGTGGTGAATATTTGCTGGAATTTTCTTCATTTTGCTTTATTGTTATTTATAATCATCTAGTGTATCGTTAGTTTCCACTCATTTTGAATATTTTGTGGATCTCGCCATCAATATTCTGGCTCACTGCGGTGAATATTTGCTAATTTTTCTTTATTACTATTCATAATCATCTAATGTATTATTTTTTCCACTCATTTTGAATATTTTTACATACAAGTAGTTGTACTGATTTGCTCATGTGTCATGTTTTTTTGATAAATTATTTTCAACAAATTAGTGAAAAATTAAGGGAAATTCTGACCTGTCAAAGATCAATTTATTGTGAGCCATCATGATTTGACTATTTCCTCCTTTTTGTGTTGTAGCAACGAAATGTTTGGAAACAAATGAACAAAGACTCTTCTTTACTTGGTTGACCAATGACCATATTAGCTATTAAAGATGACCATACCACATCAAAGATGCAAGGTATGAGATTCTTGGGTATTGTTTACTATTGCTGTCATTTCTTAAGTATTATTTTGATGTTTGGTATGTTATTATTTTACTTTTTCTTCAAATTGAGAAGTAATAAGGACTGCAAGAAAAATCACTCTAGGGTGATCAATGTTTTTTCAAAAAATAGAAACTCACTCATTTTGTCCACTAGAATTATTAATCGTTTTTCTTAATTCATTTAGACTTAAAAGAAAATAACACTGGGAAGAGCGATGAGTGCATTGATATTGAAAATATTACTGAAGTTATTAATTATACAGACAATATTTCTCAGCCTTTTTGTTTTGTTACTCTTTCATGATATGCATTTATCTTTCTTTCCATTCTTTCCTATGAAATTAGAATTTTATGTAGTATAATCTAATCTTTTGTATATTGTGGAAGTAGTCTATATGATGAATCTCCTGTACCATTCTCTTTGTTAAGGTACCTATGACCGAATGTGTTTGTGATATAAGTTGTTACCTATGTACAACGAGTTTCAAATGTAGCACATACCTAAGAGAGCATAAATGAAATCCTCACTAAAAGAATTCAGTGTAATGTTACTATTTTTACGCTTGCAATCAATCTACGATAATTATTACATTTAGACATATATGTGGCTATTATCATGAACATAAGTGGAGTTATTTATATGTTATAGACTTATAGTTGACCATATCTGATGAGGAAACTTTTTTCCATGTTAAACATTTGGTGTATCATATTTGGATGATAATTACTTGACAAAAATTAAGAAAATATATTCATTGATGGCGGGTTTACCTATTTTTTCCCCTAACTTATGATCAATCCAAATAGAAGAGGTAACAATAGTGATTTTTGTGACTTTAAATAGTTCATGCATTGTTACTTCTTTTTTTTAGTTCCCTTAGTTTTTTATACCAAATATCATTCTATGAAAATATTAAAGGAGAAAATGTGGTTTAATAAATCATTTATATTATATCCCAATATAATTTTCTTATTGTAATTTTATAAGGGTCATTCTAAATATACCGGATAATCCAGTGATAAATTGAATGACTTAGTTGAAAAGGTTATTTGTCAAAACACTACACATTTGGTTGACCTTGGATGAGAAAATCCTTCATTACATGTATATATTTATGTCTACACTCATCTCAATTTAATAAATTGTGGAGCATGTAATTATTTGATGACTCTTCATCTAGCATTTATAACTATGTTCCTCATTCCTTATTTCATTAAGTTTTTCATCAGTGGTCCACCCTTTTTGGACTGAAAGGGAGTATCATAGATTCGAATGCATTAAGAAGTTCTTTCATGGAGAAGTGGAGGAAGGTCTTAGGAAAGAAGTATGTTCTTGAATCATACAAATATATTAAACAGAAATCTCCAAACATTAAACAAAAATGACTATGGCGGTATGTTATTGTTGCTTAGACATTATTGCTGCTTAGACAGACCGTAAGAGGGGCAAGCTACCACTGATACCTTAGGCTAAATAAAAGACTTCGGAAGTGATAACATGAAAATTTTGAAAAGCATATAGTAGTGATACACGTGCACAAGTCAAAGTGGCAAGTTCTCTTGCTTCAAAATCAGTAAAGACATTGTAAGGAAAACTACAAAGGACTGGAAGGGTCTTCGATTCAACATCCTAAATCATCTATTTTTGGTAATGTAAAAAGGCTGATTGCATTTGCTGCTGGTGGTTAAATTTTGAATTTCTGTGGAAGTAGTACCTTCAATTATATTTTTCTTAGAGGTCATTGGTTTAGACATCTGAATATGTACGGATTTGAGTCTTTCTTCTTTTTTTTTTTTAATAATAAAGTCTAACATTTGGTATTTTTTGAAATTTTTTAATGATTGAGGCATATATTTTTTTGTCTCTAGGTTTACCTATGGAAGATGTTCCGCACGAAATATACTCAGCACCTCTTATTGTTTCCAGTTAGACAATTTAAAATGGAGAATGCTTGGCTACCACTTGAGTTGACTAATTTGTTTTACATTGCCAATTCATTATTTGAAAGCAGGAATTGGTTAATAAATCAACGGTTTATGTAATATTCTTTTCCCACTTTTAGGTTGGCGACACTTTTCACTCTTTAAGCCGGTTAATTACTGTCAAAACCTTTTGAATGCCAAAAAACTGCCAAACAAACACGTTTGCTGAGGTAAAAGTATCTGTTAGTTTTCTGATATCCTTGTGGTAAAACCCTTTCCTATTTTATATGTGTGAAATTTTTGAATTGATTTAGCTTGCACTTTTAAATTATTTACTTTGGTCTCGATATTACATCTTCCAAATTATATTGTACTTTAAAATAATGATTAAAGAATTTATTTTTCTTAAAGTATCATCATTCAGCTAAATGTTTTGTGGTTCTTGACAACGATTCCACTATGTTCCTTCAAACAGGAAGATGACCGGAAGGAATGTGGAAGTTCCTCTTTGTGGTGAGATTTTAACCATTGCAGTGTGGATGCCTCCTTTTGACAAATATATAATCTTAATTTCCCCTGAAGGCATATAATCATATCATGAATTCCAGAATAAAAAATAACAACGTATGTTTACAACAATATGCTTGTATAACAACTCAGTCCATAATTAATTTATCGACTATATTTGTATAACCTCTTTCCAGATGAATCTTCTATATTTGTAGCAAGTGAGGCGAGGGTCCTTCATTAAAGGGGGGGAAAAGAGGGGTGGGCTTTGTTCTAAGGGGCCGCCTTGCGTAACTTTAGAAAGGATAGAGTCGGCCACTGATAAATGGCCTTTGACTCTTCGGACGGGTATTCTAGAAAGGATGTTTGGACGTTTACTTGGATCATACATGTATAACGCTAGGTATGTTTAAAAAAGTTAATGAAGATCTAAGGTAGGTTGATTACAATTGTAACCCAATGATACTGATACTTTCTCATGTTACGTTAGATAGGATTGCACTAGGAAAAAATTGAAGGTCGAACTCTGAGTGGTACTTAACATGTTTACCCATTCACTCAATAAAAGGTTAATGTCAGGGGGTGCTTAGAAATTCTGAAAAATTATTTCAAATTGTAAGTCTAAGAAACTTTAATCTTCAAATTTAAGCAAAATAAAAGCATCTTTTTCATTTTCCCAGGTTGGTGTTATATACATGTCTATCCTTTTCTATTTTTGTTTGGAAGTCATCCTCATGGCAAGCAAAAGCTCTTTAACTTTGGCAATTGCTTATTAGAAATTCCTTTGTACAAAGATTAAAGATATGGTATTGGCAAAATTTGTTTGAAGAGATCATACTCACCAACAACAGGACAGAAGGTTCAGGAGCGTGGATGAGCTTGTATGGATCTGAATATCGCCCGAATAACACAGTTAGACACTACTAACGAATAACGATATTGTCTATGGCCCTCGACTATTGAATTTTATTTTAATAAACAAGTTAATAAATAACTCTTACCAATTTTTTTGTACGATAATTGCAAAATCTATCAACGACCATTTATTCCCCATCTGTTTGTGGAGATTTTGGCACATGATACGTATTCTTCCTACTATACGATTTTGGTATGTTGTGCCCGTGCTTACCCATCTAGTAGAAAGAAAAAGAAAAGAATTCTTCATAATCTTAAACTTACACAAGGTAATTCAAAAATGTTCTCAACAAATACTTCAATACATAACAAATTTTCCTTGTACTAGATCCTAATAGATGAATCCTCCATAACATCTCAAGAAAAAGAACTGATCTCTATCAAAATCATATTGTACAGTTTCTGTTTTTGCCTTCACCAATTTACGATCTGGCCTCTACAAAAACCCTATTACATCATTTGACCTATCAAAATATCTTAGCAGCAACAATGATGCCTATAAAATTCTAAAGACGCGATTATTTGATCATTAGGTCAAAATATCTTAGCAGCAACAATGATGCCTATAAAATTCTAAAGACGCGATTATTTGATCATTCTGATATAATTAAATAACAAACTACATGACAGTAGGAAACCGAAAGGGCAAAAACGGAAAGAGTTTTACTGAACTCAGTAATCTCCTCTCCTGCTAGCGACAAGGTTGTTAGTCATATCATCCTCTTCATTTTCACATTGTTGCAGATATACTCTGTAAGACTCATCATAAGCAGTAGCCATTTGCAGATAATTAATCGCATCCTTCTTGCGGCCAACATTGATCAATGCACTGGAAAATAATCATGTACCACTTTAATCAATTGTAGAATTGGAATAAACAAGGTCTTCTAGAACTTGCTTTGAGAATATAAACAATGTATCAAGAATTAAAACAAACATTTACCTTGACAGTAGTACTAATCCGTCATAATAATGAGCCTTGCTCTTTGGGTCATCTGGCTCTTTCAACGTGGCTATGCGTTCCAGGTGTGCAAGTCCCTCTCCCATCTTACCCTGTAAAGGAAAAGGAATGGTGCAATATCACTCTGAGGTAACTCAGACACAAACTATCCTAGATTTTAGGCTTGGCTCAAGAAAGGAGAGGCCTTGAGATATCTGCCACTGACCGAGCCCAAAAATATGGCAAGTCAAGGAAAATAGAATTTGGGTCCAACTAAGCATTACTGAGAATAGAGTTTGGGTCCAACTAAGCTTTACTGACAGAGCAACTTAGACAGTCATTATATTTAGAGGGCATAAACATGTCTAGTATCCTTAAATCGTATTGTCCAGCAATTATCTGGAGGTGTCAGCATCCTTTCAGTTTCATCCACCATCCACAAACTTCAGGCTCCGAGGAATCCGCCAACAACCAACCCACCATCATATAATTCGTTTGATTCAATCTCAATTTGAGTCCAGCAAGTGGGATGAGGAAAGAAAGGGAGTGAGCTTTAGCTAAAAAAGATTCTGAGAACAGGTATTTGTTCTTAATGCTGGAGACCTCCAAAAACTTATGAACAAATTGTGGTCTAGTACGAACTAATTACAGAGACCCTAAAAAGACTCAACTAATCAGCTTCCTTACACTAAAAATAAAAGTTAATAATACAATTTCACTTATTCATATCAAACACCGGAAGTAGAAGACACCTTTCGATGTAAGTTGAAATGAGCTACTCGTATCATTTCTCGTGGGAATCATCACAGTCGGGAAAACTCACTATTAAACATCTCTACTGTAGAACCTCATCATCAAAATGAGGGGAAACCATTAATGTTTTCTGTTCCGGAACTACAGTAGGTTCTTAGCGTGTCCACTATTCTTGTGGACTGCTTCCTTGTAACTTCCTTCTCCCTTTAATGATTGGTCTAAGGAGAGAGCCAATGACTAAGTTGAATTTGCGCTCAGATAAATATATTAAGAAGAGTAAAGTGAACAATTTATCTCTGAATTTCATTGAACAAGACAACAATGTGTTATTACAGGATATCTGCAAAACTAATTTACTCCGCAATTTGATAGCCCATATCTATAGACAATATTTTTCAACATCATCACAAGCTAACAGCCCATATCTGAGTGTTATGTACATATGCCTCAAATTCTTTACAAAGATATACATCCACTCATTAGCTTTTGATGATCTTCAAGCAGAAACTAAGTATTATATATGTCTAAGAGTTAGAGAAATTGAGCTGAGCTAATATTGCTACTAGTTTAAGACATGAACTTCTCTTACAAATTGAGCAACTTTTGATCCATTTTCATCTGAATGCTACTCCAATTCTTTTACTTCCCCATCAGAAGAAGGCAGTTCTCGGTTTTAATAGCCTAAGACTGGGCTAGTAACTTGCATTAAAGACCCCCTGTTTATGAAGCTTGCTATGCGGCTTACAAGTCTGAACCACCCCTCGTTAGGCTTGTTTTCAGGGATAATAATCACTGATCTAGTTTGATCATTCATAATAACCAAAACAAATCTACCATACTTATTGTGCTGAGGTTTAGCTAATTTAGAAATAGTGAAAAAAGTAAAGAGAGAACATGCAATGGCTAGGATTTTCTTCAATAAATGGACAAGGCAGAAATACAGGGAGGAACAGTAATCAGTTTGTCTAGAATATGGAGAGGAGAGGGAGAAGAGCAGCTAGGTATTGGGAAGACCAGGTTGAATCCTCGCTATCATATATTGAAGAATAGCAATCAGGCATCCGCAGGCTTTAGGGGCAAGTGGGGTCGATAAGAATAAAACATACTTCCTCCGTTTCAATTTGTTTGTCCTATTTTGACTTGGCATGGAGTACAAAAAAGTAAAGAAGACTTTTGAATCCTGTGGTCTTAAATTAAAGATATGTCAAATGCACCAAAATTCCCTTTAATCTTGTGGTCTTAAGCATGTCATGTGGAAAGTTGAAATTAAAGTTGCCAAAAAGGAAAGAGGCATACTTATTGAAACGGACCAAAAAGGAAAGTAGGACAAACAAATTGAAACGGAGGCAATATATAAAAACGGAAGATGAATGATTGAGGAATTTCAAGCTAAACATACTTCAAACATAATGTAGATTCTGAGGAATTTCACAAACATTTGAATAAAAAAGAGAACTAAGATGAGACTTCTAGCAACTACAGCCCCAGAGGAAAAGGTAGAGGGAAATTCCGTAAGAAACCTTCTCGGCTGAAAATCCGTTTAAAATTACACCACAATATAGAGTTTCAATAGTCCAACCCACTAAAGTGTACCCAAAATAAATCCCCTATATACATGGGTTCTCTATAGTTGTTACTCCGCCATGTCACACGGAATCAGGTAAATGATGCAAGGTACTCAATATCTGTGACTAGAATTATTATTGATTTATGTCAAGTATATATATGGTGTCTGAGATGAATGGAGTGGTCAGTGAGAATTTATATAACCTATCCCAATTTGCTCGGGATCGAGGCATAGTAGTTTTATTTATAAGTCAATCATCAAGTCAAGTTCTCAAAACACCATTACCTGCCGTATACAGGCAACACCTGCCCATTGAGATGATAGAATCAACAGATCTACATCCTCAATTTCCATTTGATTCTCCTTTAGCAGAAGCTGAACTTGCAGAAATTGACTTTGATCAGTAACAATTCAACTCTTCTGGATTATAGCAGCCAAGTTAAGTTCACTTAAAAAAATGAAGTTTTCTGCAGAGTATACTACATAAACTTTTAAAGGTCCCAAATATAGAAAAACAGATTTTGACTTTCCCAAATTCAGTCACCCTTTCCATGAACTGAAAATAATAACGTACAGGAAATTCTTAGTCCACGAAAGCAAATTGTATTCTTCATCAACAAGATCAGTAAGACTTCAAACTCAAACCTTAGCAATAGAACATTCCAAGTATTCAGTAGCTTCTGGTAAGGAACCATCTTGCAACAGTGTCTGGCCAATAATAAGCAAAGCTCGAACATTCTTGGGATCCTTGGCAATAGCAAGTCTGTAACACATATATTAAAAAGATGATGCTACAGAGAAGGAAAAAAAAAGAAATGAGGCGGTGAGGATTGCAGAGAGAAATACCGTAGTATGGACATAGCTTCATCTTTACGTCCACCTGATAAGAGTTTGATCGAAAGCTGACGAGGTTTCAACAAACAAAGATTTAGAAAGCAGCAAGAAAAATTCAACATTTCAAGTCTCAATATCAGGAAACAAAAATAGTTACTAACATTAACCAATTCATGAGGTGATAGGTCCTGGACAGATATTTTGCTCCGATTTTTTGATGGATCTATTTTGATTTCTCCAGGATTAACCAATTCTTTCGGATGTGTAGCTTCTAATTGAGGATCCTTCTGAGGTAACCCCAGTTTCTTGTGAGCATCTGGATGCTTTAGAGATAGTTGCTCCTTCTGAGGTAGCCCCAGTTTCTTGCGAACATCTGGATGCTTTAGATATAGTTGCTGTATATAAAAAGGCAATGATTTCTAAGAAATTTATTTTTTCCAATATTCCCCACACCCATTGATTCATGAAGACGTGTGAAGTGCAACTTTAAGAAGCAACATTTTTCAACGACTGCTATTGGACAAGGAAAAATTTACAAAAGAGAATGCCAGCTATGTACGATCTGCTAGACAGACTGTGTCTAGAGGGAGTGGAAGTTAAAAAAAAAGAAGAGGATATCATAGACATTTGCCAAGGAAGTTTGAAGAAAAATTATATCTTCATTATCTAGTAGTTCATTTATCATGCTCTCTTACCACGTTAGGAGGAAAAAGCAAATTCGAAACTTAATGTGCAATAAGACTCTTGGCATCCAATGCATAACATGAGATGCTACAAAAACTTCTTAAGAATAAGAGATTACTTTAGCAGTTATCCGCATGCCCAGTCAAGCAAGAAATAAAGTTTGGTTTCGGAGGCTTAAGGCATCTCCAACCCAATCCGTTATTTTACCCTCCAAATATAGAGTTTTCTATTTTTTCAGACAACCAACTCCAAACCAATTCTCTATTTAACTCTCAAAATAGGAATCTTTTTCAAATTTCCTCAATATTATATTATTATTTCTATTCTTATCTTATTTCATAAAATAAATCCTTTATTT